GGTCTGTAGGGCTCTGCCCGGCAGAGGGGAGACCGGCGGCGTTTGGCTTTTGCTGATGGAGCGCTGCTTGAAGAGGGTGTTCCGATCTCGGGGCCGCTGTGGAAGTTCAGCCCGGCAGCAGCCTGGAGCTGCTGCTGTGTGAGAGCCTGAAGCGTCGCTTCAGCTGAGAGCAGTGCAGAATTGGCGAGCGATGTACTTGATTTTGTTAAGCTGAGGGTGTCATCAGAGAAGAGAAGGCTCTGGGGAGACCTTATTGCGGCCTTCCAGTACCTAAAGAAGGCCTACAGGAAAGGTGAGGAGGGACTTTTTAACAGGGAATGTAGTGATAGAACGAGGGGTAATGGTTTTAAACTGAAAGAAGGTGGATTTAGATTAGATATTAGGAAGAAAATCTTCACTCTGAGCGTGGTGAGACACTGGAACAGGTTGCCCGGGAAAGTTGTGGATGCCCCATCCCTGGAGGTGTTCAAGGCCAGGCTGGATGGGGCTTTGAGCAACCTGGTCTAATAGGAGGTGTCCCTGCCCGTGGCAGGGGGGTTGGAATGAGATGATCTTTCCAACCAACTAGATGATCCCTTCCAACCCAAATGACTCTATGATTCTATGATATGTGCACACTCACTTGATATTTTCAGTAATTCTGGCTTAAGGTTTTTGTTTTCCTATTTTTTCTGTACTATTTCATATTTTCTGTACTTTTATCTGTTTTGATAAAATATCAATGTTGCTGTGAAGAACAGGTCATGAGCGGCAGAGAAGGTAACAGAACAAAATAGCTGAGGTGAGGCATGGAGTCCAGGAAGAGCAATATCCCCTTTCCCTTCTTCCTTGAATCAGCTTAGGACAGAGGCCCATTCAAGCGTATCACTTAAAATGTAGGCACTGGTTAAACATGGAAAACTTGGGGGAAAAAATCTGCCAAGTTGTGCGGGCATTGCGTGCATCCCAAAGCTGCCTTTAGTGAGTGCAGAACTAACTCCTCCCACTTCAGCCTGCAAGAGCTACCATTCACTTACAGCCTCAGTTTCCATCGGGGGGGTGTGGGGGGGTGGAGCAGGGAGAATCCTTGTTTAAAACGCTTTTTTAGGGCTCTAGATTTGGTCTGTAACAACCATTGCATCAGATATCCTTGGCTGACAAATCGGAGGTGCCGGTTCTCCTGCCAGCCTTGACACTCATCAGCTGGAGTCTCACCACTGGACTGCGTGGAGGTGTATGCCGGCCAAGCACGGTCTTATTCCAGAGCACAAAGCCTGCCTTTCTCTTTTAGTCATAAGTTTTTCGTTTTTCATTCCTCCTGCTTGTTAGGAATGCCCAAAAGACAGGACAGGACCCTGTTGAACTGTTCAGTTACCTCACCTGTGCTAGTAGTTCAGCCAAAATGTTGCCAGAGGGCTACACAAAGTGAGTCTATTGATGGAACTTGAAAGAAAGTAAAGAGCTGTCACTGACTTTTGCAAAGTCTTGTCTGATACTGAATTGATTTTTTTTCTCCTCCTTTTTTTTTTTTTTCCGGGGTGGGGGGAGGCTGAGCAACTTCAGCTTTCTTAGAGGTTTTTCTGAGTCATAAGAAGGTTTGATACTCGTATGTAATAAACTAGATTAATTTTGTTTTAGTAAAACCATTAGAAAGTATGCTTTCTGGTTCTTTAAACAAAACAAGTTTTTCTTTTCTGTTTCTTGCCTTCTACAAATTAAATTGACCTCAGTTTCAAAGCAGAACATTGAAACACAAACTTCTGAAAATGTTAGTTCTTAAAAATAATTTTTTTCTGTCCCGAGCTATCTGCTAATCATGTTGGAATATGACTTCAGTCTGAACATGAATTTTGCTTTAACTACTTGTGTGAAAATGTGAGATTATTCAAATGAAATGGTCTTTCCCCCGTTCAGGAATGGTTCAGTAGTTAAAGCTGAAGTGCAAGTAAACTGTCTACATGAAGAGTGTTGCCAGGCTTTGCCTCTTAGTGTTTAACTGGTGGCATAAATAAATATACTTTTTGAAAAGCTGTATTTATTTTCATGAAAAAATCACATTAAAAATATAGGATTTATTAAAATAATAGCCAATAAAATTGATAACTGTGGGCTTATTAGATTTTCTTTGACTTCCTCAGATATAGGCTCTGATTGTATTTTAATATCTTGGGGTATTTTCTTTCTGCATTTCTGTCAAGAGCTGCGCATTGCTCAGCATTAGCTTTAGACCAATTTGTGGCAAACTTTTATCTTCTAAAAAATCCCCAAATGACCCCTAGTTTTTCTCATAGCCATGGATATAGCTAACTAAGATATAGTGGCTGAAGGGAGAGGAGTAGTAATTACTTAGTAGCCAACTACTAGCAGTAAAAAACAACAAAAACCCACCCAAACTATAAAAGTAAAAGGCCATTTCAGACTACTTACCTTGCATCATCTGAGAGTCCAAAGTGATTTAGTCCTTACCAAAGCATTAAAAAAACCCAAAGAGCAGAGAGGATCAAGTTCTGGCATGGAAAGGTTAATAATTAATATATTTCAAAAATGATGATAAATTATTAATAAGAAAACCATGGTCATCGATATTCGTGTCAATAGCAGAATGAATGGAAACCCATGGCTTCGAAGCATTTTTCTTATACGAAATTGTCTTGCAAAATGAAACCAAAAGGATTTAAAGTTTACTCTCAAGTTTTACGGAGGCTAAACCAGTTTTTTTTTTTCAATTTGCTATGGGGATTTAGTGGACACTGAAATAATAAGGATCCTGACACCACATTTAATGAGGGTCATCTTACCCTGTTCAAACTGCTGTCTCGCTGCCTTGAGCCCAGTGCATCGTGCTGGGAACACAGCATCACCTTCGCAATTTGAAGAAATTCATTTTGACACCTTGGCAAAAGGTGTGAGTGGAAAACATTGGTGTGTCCTGCTGAGCCTGCACCTGGGGCTGGGGGGGGTGTCATGGCAAGAGGCTACTAGTTTGCCTGCAGCTGAGAAAGTCGCCAGATACTTAGTGTTTTGGGATGCACAGAGGATATTTTCGAGGGCAGCCTTCCACTGTTGGTGAACAGTCTTTATTTGGCTCTTTTGATCTTACCATTTTGAGTCTCTTCAGTAGAAAGAAAAAAACCTTCCTGAATTAAAATACAGAAAAATAAAGAAAGTAATGAGGCAGGATGAAGCCTGCTTGCCTTGTCAGATGCTTTCAGTACTGTAGAAGTAAATGCTATAGGACTACCTAGATATACATTAACTAAATAACAGTGATTGCTGGTGCAGAAACCACTAAGCAAACAGTTCTGTAGATTCTGGACCTGTGTCTTTCCCATATGCAAAAATGCAAGGAGATAATTTCCTGGGTACTTTAAACTGGAGAAACTTAGTTATTAGCTGAGGATCAGCTTAGTGGAGTTATTCCACTGCAAGAGGGCAACCAGGTCTTTCTTGTTTTTAATAAACGATGGTTGAAGTTGGATCAATTGTTAGCAAATTTGAATGGCAGCAGAGTTTTACCCTCTTGCTGGAACGCGGTGGTCATTATCTAGTTTGGCGGTGCATGTCGAGTCCAGGCCTGTGCTATAGAGAGGCTGCTGTAGCTCAGGAGAAGCCAAGCTACCCCTTGCGTATCATATCATATTCTGGGGGAAAAATGTTTAAAAACTTCCCCCACTGCAGTCCATGTTAAACAAGCCAGATGCACGTGGAGTAGTATTGCCTGTGCTTCTGCCTGTCTCTGTGGTACCACCTAGGAGATGGGTGGAGGGGGATTTTGCATCCAGGAGAGCAGGGGTCTGCCAGCCAGGGCAGCTTCAACCTCTCCTGATAATGTATTGACGAGCGTAATTCATTTTGTGGACTATGCAGGCTTCGTGGTTTTGCTCCAGTAAAATTGCAGCAGTTTTGCCCAGTTGCACCTCTGCAGAGGTTTGATGCCCACCTCCACCCCCTCATCCCAGCTGGTCCAAGCATGGGCTGAGTTTCGTCCAATAAATTGTTGGACGCTTGCTCTGTGCCTCCTGCACTGAGGGGAAAGAAGAAATATTTTCTGCTAGTTTGGAGCAAGAAACTCTTTATTTGAATAATAAAAAGTATATGTGTATTTTTTCAAATGCCTGAAACCACATTTTTTTGTGTATTGTTCTCTGCATTATTTATTCCTTGAAATTTTAGTGGGTCTTCTGTCATATTACCTCCTGCAAAGGAGCCTGAGTTCACAGGGCTGGCAAAGGGCGAGCTGGGGACATCGTCCATGCCTGCTTGAGACAAGAGATGGTCTTATCCATGAAATTTTAGCTAACCTGTGTTGCATTCTCCTTTATGGCACCTGATTAAATTAATTCTTTAGATGAATGTAAAAAGGCATTTCTGCACCAGTCAGAATGATTAGCCAGAATGTATCACGATCAGTGCAATTGGATCTTTGACCGGAAAAAAAGAAATTCAATATAACAGAAGTGAGTTATCTTCAAAGGGCTTTTTTCCCATTCTCTTTTAAATCCAAATACATATATGTATTTTATAGCGCTGTTTATAGTTAATACTGCGCTACAAAGTAGCCATGATAAATTTCTAGCTGAAATATGGTCTCTGTTGCTTACTTCAGCAATCAAAATGCTAGAAATGAAAATGTTTGTTCTTTCACCCACCAGAATGAGTTATTCACATGAGCCTGGATAGGACCTTACAAGACTCTCACATGATATATGAATACTTATAATGTGGATGTGCACCATTGCTGGGATGTGCAAGGCAAGCTGTGGCAAAACATGGGGTTCAAATCTCTTGGAAGTGCAGTGTGGCTGGACTCGGCAGAGATTTGCTGTCTTGTCTAAATGGACTTGGAGAGAAAAATGTGCCTAGCAGGAGTTTTCAAGTCAGAAGAGCTTTGGTGTCAGGCAGAATTGAAAATGAGATTCGTGCAGTTGAATTAGAATCTATGCAAAGAAGATGTCTTCCTTCCAAAAGGAGGGACTAACTGTATGATTGTAGTTGGCTTTAGCATGCCTGAACACACCCTTCTCATTGCCTGACAGCTGGATTGCCCAGCATAGCTGGGTGAGCTGGTATTTTATGTTATAGTCACCCACCTTGGGAAAACAACTGGTGTCACAGTCAGGTGTTGCGCCTGGCACATGGGTGCCCTGCCGGAAATCACTGGGGAGAGATGTGGGTAGGGAGCAGAATCCTAATGGAATGCTTTCTTCCCTTCCTCAATTAATTTAAGTAGGAACAAATGAGTTGTTTGTGCAGACAGTTAAATTCTCATCAGTAGTCTTCAGAGTAAACAAAGTATATGTGAACTTTGCAGCCCTGTGCAGACAGCACAGCACTGAGCCCCTCTCTCTGTGTATTGAGTATGCAGGCAGGGATTGGGGTGGTGCAAATCAGCGTAGCTCCACTAGCAGGAAAAACAGCAAGCCAAAAGATACGCAGCAAACAGTACTCCTGCTTGTCTACGGACAGCCGGAATAGTTCACTTTATATTAGGTGACAAATAGCTACTGAAAGAGCATAAGCTTTTTTTTTTTTTCACCCTAGCTGTGGGTTGCACTTAAAAGGAGTTGTAAATGCTAACTTGATCTTTCGCTAAAATGTGCTGTTAACGTCATCCTCAATTCCAGCAGGCTGTGATGGAATATAGCAGAAAAAATCCACAATAATTATTAGTTGTAACAATTCCTATTATAAGAAAGATGTTTCTTTTTACAGTGAGAACAATTAATCACTGGAACAACCTTCCCAGGGATGTTGTGGAGTCCCCATAGCTAGAGGTCTTCAAGACGTGACTGGACAGGGTGCTAGATAATCTCATCTAGGCTCCCTTTCCCTTGAAAGGTTGGACCAGGTGATCTTTTGAGGTCCTTCCCACCTGGGCTGTTCTAAGATTAATGCTTTTGTGTTTCCTTAGCACTGCTCAGCTTAGAGTCTCAGCTCACTTTCAAAGACTCAGGTCTCAGAAGAGCCTGAAGGCAGTCATGCCCTATCTCCGTGTTGCAGATTTCTATTGCTCAAAGTCAGAACGGGATTCAAGTGGAGGATGAAGGATTTAACTCAGGCCGTGTGTATCAAAACCTCTCTTGATGAGACTAGAACCTGCCATTGGTTTGAGCCTGCCCAGATGAGCTGCTTGAAGATGCTTGCAAATCATTGCAGTCTCCATCAGTGGTGGTCTGAACTGGCCTCACTTCTTATATGGCTGTCATGAGGTTAGACTTAATCTTCTGTGTAGACAAACCCCCTGCTTTCTGGTAAATCAGAACAACATGGATAGGGAGTAGAAAAAGAATAAAGCGTCAATCTGAAAAATGGCATTTTTCCCTGTACAGCTAGCAAATATTTTTTTTTTTTTTAAACTTGAATGTTTAATTCTAAGCTTACTGTGTTGTCTTTTATATTCACAGGCATATTTTGAAAACGATAATTCTGGGCCAGATGCTCTCCTTGTTTATCTGTGGGACTGCTGTTACAAGCCAGTACCTAGCAGAAAAATACCAAGTGAATACTCCAATGTTTCAAAGTTTTATCAACTATTCTTTGCTTCTTCTAGTTTATACAACAATGCTGGCATTCAGGACTGGTATGTGAAATATGGGATGGGATATTCTGGTTCATCTTTTTTTTTTTTTTTTTTTTCTACGTTTTCCTTTCAGATTTTGAAAGAACTTAATACTCGTCCTAGTTTTTTAAAGTTTCTTGAAAAAGCTGAAATTCCTGCCTTGTAATAACACATGGAAATGAATTTCACAGATTAAATGTGCATTTAATTTGATTTTATTTCATATCTGTTTAAAATTATGTGCTCTTTGGTTTCAAGTCCTATGTTATATTAGACAAAATCAGCTTTTTTGTAACAAGCTGCTTTAGCAGAGGCTATTTAATATTCCTCCTATTCTTATTAACTTAATCTTTAAACAACTCTAGCCTTGTGGGTTTTTTTCCTCGTGTGGAAGAATTTGTGTGCTTTTTACCATTTGCATTTTATCCTCCCAGGCTGCATTTGGCTGTTATTGTATCTTTCTCAAGCAGGGGCAACCAAAATCAAACATCTCAGTATTATTTATGCTTCTAAAAAGCAAGATTCCTGCGCAACATTTGGTTGGAAAGGAACACACATTGATTGCTGCTTTCTTCTAAACAGGCAGTGACAGTCTTTGGCAAATTTTGAAACAGCGGTGGTGGAAGTATGTTTTTTTGGGGCTGGCTGATGTTGAAGCCAATTACATGATTGTAAAAGCCTACCAATACACGACCCTCACAAGTGTGCAGGTAAGCACTCTTTTAGAACTGTTGCTTTTATTACAGTTTTGGACCGGTTTCTGAAATGAGCTTTGTAGGACAGACATAGAAGCTATTTAGGCCTGAAAAAGCTTTCCAATATCTATTTTCTCTCTGCAGTACAGAGAAGAGCATCCTGCATCATGAATACCATTTCCAGGAAGCAGAGAAAATTGGCTGGTATTACCCAGTGCCAGCTCTTGAGCTGAACTCCAATTATTTTGATAGAAAGCACTTCTAAGAGTTTGCTGACAGCCACTCAGGATTTTCTCCTGACAGAAAATAAAGATTTAGGACTAGATAACGCACACTCAGCACAGGTTCTTGCTGATAAGAGTAATGTAGATCTCTTGCCTAGTCGTAGAAGCTGCGGGAGGTGTGAGATGTAACCCTGCACGTGAGGACATGCTGATAGTTAGCCGGTGTTGCTGACTGTGCAGTGAGCGGTCAAGCCTATGGCTTTTGGCTGTGGCACTTCAGTTCAGGCCCCTCTCTGGAAGAGATGGAAGGGAGGTCAGCGTGCCAGGCTCCTCAAGTGGCAGTAAACATCCTCTGTAACGCCAGTGCTTGGTGCTGCGTTGCTGCACTGGGATAAAGCCTGTGTTCTGAAATAGCTTTTTCACCAGGAGGGCTGAGGCTGGGTTTCTTTGTCAACCTGTGTGGCCGGAAGAGTTAGTGCCTTCTCCTTCCAGCTGCATGCTCCTGACCTTGCACAGCCAAATCTTTTGAGTGAAGCAGCTCAGGACGCTGAGCAAAGTCAGAGTAAACCCTGCCTTTTGCTGGGCTATTGGAGACCCCTGTCAGTCCCCCCTCCCCCTGAGTTAGGTCCCTGCCGGGCTCCGCAGCTGCTGCTGGAACAGGGGAGGGGACGTGTCTGGGGCTGTGCCAGCCTATGCCTGCTCTTACTGATGGTGGATCTGTGGCTGGGGTCGTGGCCCCACTTACCTGATTAAAGAAAGTAATGTACCATACAGAATTGGTTGTTAGTTGGAAAGGAGTGTTGAGATGTCAGTATTTTAGAGTCAAAGTAACAAGGGTTAATATTTAAAAGAATTACCTGTAAAGCAATAAACTCCTGTGGTCTGGGCTCTCTTTAGAGAACTGCAGTAACTTTTCCTTGCATTATTTAAAGACCAGTAACATATGCCTGATGGATTATTATTGTCACATTTCCACTTCATACTTATGTGTTATGACTCATTAAGCTTTTAATTTCCTTAGAAATAATGCCTAAGAAATCAAAGCTTTAAGAATGACACATTTCAGTCTCAAGACCAAGTTAAGCTGATAATCGAGACACTGTTTGATCATACAGTTTACAGCAGAAAACGCCAGGACTTTGATCCAGGTTCTCAGAAGTAGTAAAGCTATTCCCATGATTTCTTTCATAGAAACTAAGAAATAATAGATAAAGTAGGTTGTCCTGTCTGGTTGCCAAACTCGAGCATTTGCTGAACCTTCTTCCCATGTGGTAACCTTCATACTGATGCTTAAATGTCAGTTCAGTACTTACAAACTTGTTGAAACTGCCTGTTGCAGTAGGGTTTCTTCCACATTCCCCGAAGCCACCAGTCAGAAATGAGATACAGGACAAAAAAAAAAAAAAGAAAGCCTGTGATTTGCTCTGGTGCAAGGCATTTGCTGTCTGTCAGTAACAAGCAGTTCTGCAGCTACATCAGAACCTGTGGTTCAGAGGACCCAGCCTGATGTCCTGTCTGCAGTACTGGCTGTGAGTGGATACCCATGGAGCATGAGGGCAACACAGGAATATATGGCACCTTCCCGAATACAGGGAGGGTAGTCACCGTTCAAATGCTGGCTGGCTGGAGCTTCAGCTCAGCCCTCGAAAACTTGTCTTCAAATAGAAGTTTTCTCAGCTCAACAAGGAACTTCCATGTATTGTCTCACACATGCACACAAAAGCAAAACTGATTTTCCTTTAGTTCTCAAATCCTAGCATTGCACGGAAGGGGTTGGGAGATTTTTAAGGAGATAACATGGGGATAGCAGCTCTCGTTTCTCTGTAATTAAAGAAGAAGACTTTGATCTGCAGCTGCGACTCTGTTTGGCTGTGGCTTAGGCAGTGCCAATGAGATTTCTTGCTGCCAGTGTCCTTCTGTCTTGTGTTTCTCTGTAATTAAAGAAGATGACTTTGATCTGCAGCTGCGACTCTGGCTGTGGTTTAGGCAGTGCCAGTGAGACTTCTTGCTGCCAGTGTCCTTCTGTCTTGTGGCAGGACTTGACTGCTGCTGTTTGACCGCATATTTCATAGCAAAAAACAAGCAGCGTAGCTGTGCTTTCATGCTGTTAACATATTATTGGGCACAATTAGCATTTGCTCTGTGGATAATTCAGGTGGAGGCATTTTATAGGCAGCTATTGACATCATATCAGCTGATGGAAGAGTGTTAACCTCAACAGGAGAAAATGCAGTATGAGCCCCTGGGGGTCAGCTGGAAGCTGTCTGAAGGGAGCTGTGCGGGGAAGCGAGGAGGATGAGCTGTTGAGCTTTCTTGCTCAAAAAGCCGTGTGGAGCTGGCAATTATAAGCAAACCGTTGACCTCCAACAGTCTATGATAATTTATTAACCATGTATTAAAACATCTTTTAATAATTTACTCACCCTACCTTTAAAACCTCCTATGAAAAGTGTGGCCAAAGCCTGGTTTGAGTCAACACATTTGTAAATCAAATCAACAGGTTATCTGTTTTTTCCCTTGTAAAAGTACAGGCTGGAATTGAATAAGATGAGAGTTTGCTGACGCTCTACTGGCAATAGTAATCAGTGCCACAGTACTGCTGTAAATGTCATAAAACATTAATAAAAAAACTTTATTCTTTTAAATGTTTCCATTGACACAATTCATTGCAATGTTACATCTGCTTTGCACCTCTTTGATCTTGATCCTGTACAGGACAGAGCATTTTCCACCGAAGAGCTCTGTAACTTAGTAGATAAAGGAAAGGCAAGATCCAGTAGTTGGAAATCAGATTTCTTCTGTCTGTAATTGAGGGTAATTGTCCCCTGGAATAGATTACCAGGACGTGTTCTTCGTCATTTGGTGCCTGTGTGTCCTGGCTGCAAGTCCTCTAACCAGGATTCTGTAGCTCTACAGTATGTTATTGGTTTGAATGCTGCAATTCCCCATCCGGCGTTACTGAAGGAGCCTCTGGCTCGTTATGTACTACTCCCTTACATCCTAATTAAGATATTTTTTTTTTTTATAATGGGTTTTGTCTTTCACTCTTTCTGTTTGTGTTGAAAAACTGCTGGGAGACTGGAAAAGCCACATAGACCCTGCTAACTGTGATATTACTACTACCAGGGCTGTAAAAAATTTGCTTTCTAATGTTTGTACTATTTTTTGTTGTACAAGACTAGTCAAAACAGTCAAATTTGGATGAAATGTTAGGAGGTTTTTTCTTGAGCCTAGGCTAAGGGTAAGATAGAGGAAAAAGCCTGTGACTAGATAGGAACCCACAGTATGATATTTGTCAGTAAGGCAAAATTGTATTGAAATACATGGTATCACACATTAGGACTTGGGTGGTTGTGATGTCTCATAATATAGTCTAGGCTTTTGCACTTGATAGACTTTACAAACTAGACAAGCTGGAGGCAATCCAAGGAGCTAAGACAAACAGATGGAAGGGTTAGAGGCACTGATAGGATTTAACCTGTAATAACTCCCCTTAATGCTATGCTTATAAGACTTTAATATGTATAGTTATGAACAAGTAAAACCAGATGTATCATGAAAGTCTTACAAGTTTGGTTAAAACCCTTGGGGATCATGGCTGAACGAACAGAAGCCAGCACAGAGGACTACTGCGGTGGTGCACTTAGGCAGGCAGAGGTTGGCAATAAACATTAAGGACTAAGGGCTCTTGGCTTGATTGTAATGATTATGCCCCAGTCCTATTGACCTGGACCTAATACTTCTTAGTGACTTCAAGAGGCCAAGTTTTAAGGGCTGACATTTGAGAGTAATTTGTGAACAGTTTTTGGAAGGCTGACTATATGTTCTGCTGGAGACTGTTCCCTTACATGTTCCCTACTGGCACTCTACTGAGACAGGTCAGAAAATACACCTTTATTTTCCTCCAGGCAAATTCAGAAACAAAGTCTATTTTGTTGAATTAAATATTAAACCAATTATGATTAGCTCAATGTTCTCGGTATTATTTGGTTATTTTAGAACATTATGCCCATCTTATGTTGCAGTGTATTTTTCTGTATTAAGTACATAGCTAACTCTTGATATTTTCTGTAATAAAGGAGAATGGGTAGAAGATGAGTGGGTCTAACAGCAGGGCAAAGAAGCGTAGGATTTTAGGAACACACAGAGTGGATAATGGAGAAAGGAGAGAGAAGTTGGTGTCACTGCTTGTCATGGAGGGCAGACATCCTTGAAACTCAGCTATTAAGTCTGCTCGGGGCTGTGTCTGCAACCACATCCAAAACTTTGGCTGCCATGTGTGTCAGCTGCCAGGACGTGGGTGAATTAGAGCAGGTTACCTGCTCCTGACTCTATTAGAGTAATGAAAGTGCATTGGTGGCTTGTACATGCTTTTGTGGGAAGCTGAAAGATTGGGGAGGTTACTTTAGGAAAGCTGTTCTTCCCTTCCTATCTTCCTTCTACCAATTTTACCCATGGGTCCCAGCACATGTACCAATTTTCAGCTGGATCCAGTTGGGGGGGAAAAAGCATTCCAGATCAAAACTTCAGGGTCAGATTCTTGCCCTAGTCACTTCAATGTGAAATCAAATCACTTGTGTCCTTCAATAGTTCCAGATTTTTACTTTGTGTATGTGGAGCCCTAAATTCTAATTACAGATTTGAGGAGGAGTGAAAAGACGAGCTAGACAAAACCTGCTGGGGAGAAAAGGAAATACTGGTGAACTGCCTCCTTGTATTGGTGTCACGGGGAGCAATGTGGTTTCAGAGCAACATCCTAGCATTCATTTGTGAAGTGTCAAAGATCCATCATTGGAAGAGTTTCTATATCAATGCCTTTCTACCAGGAGAGAGTGGACCCCCAACCCCAGCTCCTCCTTCACTTGCAAAATGCTTTTCATGGTGAAGTGTGGGTCTGACCCCTCTTATAAACGAATCCACTGGGGTTGTTGTGTGGCTTTCATTAACATCTGGTAGCAATGGAAAGTAAAATAATTTGCTTTCAGGACAGTGCAATCCAGATTTGGGTTGGGTTTCTAATCCAAACTGTTTCTCTGTACACACAGCTGCTGGACTGTTTCGGGATTCCTGTGCTGATGGCTTTGTCGTGGTTCATTCTCCGTGCAAGATACAGGCTGATCCATTTTCTTGCTGTTGCTGTCTGTTTGCTGGGCGTAGGAACAATGGTGGGTGCAGACATTTTGGCAGGGAGGCAGGACAGCGAAGGTAAGGAGCCCTTTATTGCCGGTTGGCTTTTTTTTTTTCCATACAGCAGTGCGTTTTTCAACAAGAGCAAACGCAAGGGGAGTGGGTATAGTTTTATTTTAAAAGAGAACAGGAGAAGACACGCTGCTGTTTGTATTTCTTGTCCAAGAAGATAGTGGCTGAGGAGACACTGATTTTATAGGGAGCTGTGAAATTTGTTTGCTTGTAGATTTGGATAATTTCTTCCACCTTAAAAGAGAGGTGCTTGTGTTAAGCTTAAATTTTGCTGCTGTTCATCAGAGCTGATGAAAGGTCTCATTGGTGAAAGCTTGTTCACTTTTACTAATCATGTGAGATGGTCTAATAACAGACGCTGCCTCTCCCCGCAAACCGTCTCTTGCTTCCACGGTCTCAGCCTGCTGAGATTTGCAGTTTTCTATAAGCACAAACAGCAAATCAAAAGTTACTTAAGAGCAAGCTGACTTCTCTGGGTTACTTTTGGCAAACCCAACAGAAATGTTCCTCGTATCCCCGAGGCCCACACGCCACAGCCTGGAAAGCAGGGGCTTAGGATGGGAGAGCAAGAGGAGATGTGGGCAGGATGCTGGGATTACTGGGACCTGCGGGAGGGAGGCTGGGCTCTGGGGACCACAATCCAGCTGGGCACAGATGAGGCCAGGTCTCGTCTTTATGACAGATACCTAAGTCAACTCATATTGTAGCAATCTTATTTTGAATAAGAATTTTGAGTTTTCAGAGCTAGTGGGTGTGAGGCAAAGTAAATTTCAGGGCATTGCCTTCATCAGGCAGCATAGAGATAAGCCTGTTTGGCGTTATTTTGGGGCCCTACCTACAGTAAGGCCCCCTCAAAGCAAACGGAGGTTTAGCTTTAATGCTACATGGGAGGAGTATCTCAGCCCTAAGGGAGAAGAATCTTTCCCTGAGACTCTAGGACAGTTGTGCTTTGTTTGCTGACCTGGGTATCCTTACTACTGCTTACCCTCATACTTCAGACATGCTTTCTTAGTGATTGCCAGCTGGCTCAGGGAAGGAGATTTTAAATCAATTCAAGGGTTTAAACAGCAGTGATACTCTTGCTATTTAGCTGATGCATAATGGCATTTACTTGATGACTGATTGTATCACAGGGAGTCCCATTTGCACTGTATAAATAAATCACAGCAGGACACACGATAGCACCCATCTGCAGCGCCCACTTCAGACCTGTCATAAACTTGAAGCCAAGTCCAGGTCCCGCTGAAATCAATAGACTGATTCCAGCATGACTTGAATCAGGCCTTAGTGCAAAAGCAGGGGCAATATTCAGAAAGGTGGAGAGCATCTCTAATGGGGAATTTTCTGAAGACCCTACAGTGTCTAAGGTCAGCAGAAGTAGAATTGGACCAGATGATGCAGCAGTGGCTTGTTCAGGATGAGATTTCGGTGCTGGGTTTGCTCATCTCAGACGGTGCCGGGTGAGATGAGCAGGTTGCAGAGTCTGTGCTCAGCCACCAAGCCACTCATCTGCACACACAGCAGGTGATTCCTTTCCCCTCACCCTGGAAGGCGCTAGGAAGACAGAGATGTTAGAGATAAATTTGCTTGTCTTTTTCAGGAAAGTTAAAAAGTGTTTGTAGCATTACCCTTATTGTGGATTAATATTTCTGTACAGGTAGTGACGTGGTGATTGGAGATGTCTTAGTGCTTCTTGGTGCTTCTTTGTATGCCATTTCTAATGTGAGTGAGGAATACATTGTGAAAAATCTGAGCAGAGTGGAGTTTCTAGGAATGGTGGGATTGTTTGGGACTATTATCAGCGGTCTGCAGCTGTAAGGATCTAATATTTATTTTAAAACTAATTAAGAATATTCTACAGATGATTGCTTGTCTACCATGAAATGATATTGTTATTAATTTAATTCTTTTGTTACGTCTACATTTGGCCTATATGGGAGTCCTTCTACTTGAATTTTATTTTTGTTGCTAATTAGCATCTGTTCTATATCCTTTTTATTTGCACTACTCTTATTACAGCAATTCTAAAGCCGAAATCCTGCCATTGAACACATACAATACTTGGCTGTATTTTTGGTTTTGTTGATCTTCATGAGGACGCTCAGTATGCTGAGGACTGTTCACAGGAACATATTTCTTAATAGACTTTCTCTGTGGAAAATTTTAGGAGATAATTGTTAGCAGGAGGTCTTCCGTATTAAACGTCAGTTTAAAATGAAGCCATGTATATTCTTACAAATAACCACATTAGAGTAACAGACCATATGCACTTAAGTCTATCTAATGAATTTTATGTTCCTCATTTCTCATCATTACAGTTAATAATTTCTTCAAATGGTCTGTCAAATAAAACTGAAACTCTGAAGAATGAAAAAGCCTGGGAAGAAGGCATAAGAATTAAATAAAAGCGCTCTTGACTTTCAGGCACTTTAATTTTTAAGTCTTTTTTCATGCTTGTTAGATGTTGGAGTTAGTGTCATTCAGTAACATTTCAAACAAAAAATTAAGGGGTTATAAATCAAAATGTTTCTTATATATTCTGGTAATTAAATTCTCTATTTGAATATGCTATGCCTTTTTTTCTTTTTTACTATATTATATCTTTTCTCTAACTCTAGAGCCATTGTGGAACATAGGGAGATAATGAGAATTCAATGGAACTGGAAAATTGGTATGTGTATGACAAAATGATGTGCATTTTTACAGAACACTAGAAAATGATAATCATTTAGACTTTGAATGCTGGGGATTTAATTTTCTTTCTCTGGATACTAAGCAGCATTCATCTTATTGTCACAAATTTACTTTCTGCAAACTTTGCAGCTCAGGAAAGAGATAAGGTTTGCAGGATTGATCATTAAAACCTTTGAGCTCAGGTTTTGCATTTTTCATATAGCATGAAACAATTTTTCAAAATAAACTGCAAAAAGGGAAAATTAAACTTGTTTAATCAGAGATATGTTTGGTGTTGGAACATCACAAGAATGTTTTTCTGTTGTCCTACCTAAATGAAATACCGGGAAAATGGTTTTTGTGACACATTTTGATCTCAGCAGAACTGTACGTTATTAAGAAATGTGGCTCTGAATGTCTTCAGTCAGCTCTTATGTTAACTGGGAAAGAACAAGAACTTTATTGTATAGATACAATAATTTTGCAATACAGGGTAGTCTTGAAAAAGAAGTATTTCTGCTATGTTCTTCTTAAATTTACATTCCCATATCTTTTAGGAGACTTTATCCTAAAAGATAAAAATGCATAGTTTTAAAGCATCTGAAGAATATCAGTGTTCTTTAAAATCATTATTCTGTGCCTTAGGAGTAAATTGTCATCTTGTTTTACAGCATTGCTGTTCACAGTCTTTGCCCTGTGTATGTTTGGGCTGTATAGCTTCATGCCAGTGGTGATTAAAGTTACCAGCGCAACCTCGGTCAACCTGGGTATTCTGACTGCGGATCTCTACAGTCTCTTCTTTGGGCTTTTCCTCTTTTCCTATAAGGTAAGTACCTTCATTCTTTCACTATATTTTCAGTTAGTTTTTTTACTCCAAAATTGTAAATAAAGCATAATGTTCTTAAAAGCCCCTGAACAATAGTTTACACTTGCACATTTCCACAGCTTGTATTGTTCGTGGTTGGTAGATGTCAATCAGAAGGACTCATACTTAGTTAATTACATAGCATGGCACCATTAGGCGGATAGTGATTTTCAACAATTTCACACCTGGTGGAATATGTTAGAGATAATCTTAAGAGATAGTAAATAATTTCCCAAGGTGTTCAAATGGTAGAGTTCTTGCTGTAATCCCTGTGTGGAACTGTATGTTAGATTTGAGATTTGGTTCATTTCTCCAAGTGTCCAAAGAAAGGCTTTGAATCTCCCTGTCCTGAGAGACTTTGGATGTCTGAGAGAAGCAGTTTGGCTTGATTTCCAGAAATTAGTAACTTCTTTTAGAAATTTAATCTGTTAATTATAAACATCTTGGGAGACAAATCAAGCTCTCTCAGTGCTGCTGCTGAGGAGAGACTGAAGGAATGGGGGGGTGGGAAAAAAGCAGATAAATATGGTATTCTGTATGGTCTCCAAAAGGCAGTTACTTTTATTGCTGTCTAAAATATTTTTGATAGTGTCTATTCAAGCTAAATAGCAGTGCTAAAAAGATTTAATTCCACCCTGCACTATTCATCCAGAATAATTTGTGGGAACCTAGCTCGTTACAGCAATTGGAGTAATTGAGTCAGTGACTCGGTGACTGGAAGGGCTTAGTGAGAAGCTTGTGAACTTTGCTTAAGAACTTAATTTGTATTATTCCATGTGGTTGCTTTCTCTTCAGCGTTATGGAGAGCCAGAAGCTTTTAGATCAGATTTGTTTCTGAAAATGAAGGCAGATTTATTTTACAGCGTGGAGGTCTGTTAATGGTAGGATCTGGCTACAGCTAGATTATCCTTTTCAAGAGTCTCTTAGCTCAGCTTTCCTCTCTGTTTTGGGTTCCAAAATTTGCTCCAAGCTACAAAGCATCCATCAAAAATGAATGTATGAAGCGAACCATGCTTACATTCTAACAATTACAAAATCCTTCCTGAGTCACTTTCAAACATGTATTTTGGAGCCCAGATAGCTTAACTCAAGAAGTGATTATAAATTTATATTCATAATAGTAAAGAGGAAGAAGTAAGCAAGAGCTTTTACTTTTAGTCTTTAGGATTTTTAGCTTATTTTGGGGAGAGGTTTTTCTGGCAGCAGATCATCCCATGATTACTAACTGTGGGGTATTCTGGTAGCACAAAGGAAAAATGAGTTAGAGAAGACTTTGGGGTTGTATTATGAGAGAATTTCAGATATTTATTAAAATAGGAACTTGCATCTGTGGTTAGAAACAATGAAGCAGCAAAAAGGGGAGCAATAATAATGCTGCACCAGGCTTAGGAATTTATGAGGTTTTGACTTGAGCACAGTGTTTTGCTGACGCGCTCAACTTCTCAGCCCCAACAGAGTCTGTTTAAGGTGAAATGTGAATTTTGCATACCTGTTTTGCTGAGCTCTTTTTTTCTTCTTTTACTCCATAGTGAATCTTTGCTGTGCTTGTTCCTAATGAGCTCATTATATAGATACCTGCAATCCCTCAAGAGATATTAAAAAAGGTCTCCAAATGCTTCTGTTGTATAAACTGCTATGGAAGGGAGTATACTGCAAATGCAGACACTAGATGGAGTTACAGTCCTCCAGTAACATTCCAAGTAGTCTTTACGTTTCATAGTGAGTGTGGGAATATAAACTGCACAGGCACAACTGAACTCAAGTGTCTGAAGCAATGAAGTTTGTGGAATATTTGAAATTAAAAAAAAAAAGAAGAAAAAAAGCCCCAGGAAAAGACCACTGAGCCCTCCCCAAATGTGAAAGAAACAAGAAGAAGAAAAGAGCATAGGCTTGTTGGAGCAGCATGGTTAAGGTTCACTGGTGTCAATAGCTGCAAACACATAGGCAGGTCTTGACTCACAGCTACGCTGCAACAGCTCTGGCACCCTGGCTTGGTGACTGTGTCCATTCACACAGGAATTAGTTCTCAGCAGGATCAGAGACACCTGCTGCCTTGTACACACTGCGAGAGGGGGTTTGGCAGTTACTGTGGCCACCCAGTCTCGCCTGCCAGCCGGGTGTCCTTGCCTGTAAACACATGTTCCCTCATGGCCTTCGGTTGCACTCTGGAGAAGTCCTACAGGTGCCTTGATACAGCCCCAAACTTTGCCCATTTGACAAGGATGGGTCAGTCATGGGTAGGGCCACAGACATGGCTGCTGCCCCCATCAGGACATCTTCAGGGCTTGGTGCTTCCTCCTGTGCAGAGTGGTCACTTGAGTCCAAGCTCCTCCGGGCAAACAGCCAGCAAGGTGAGGAGAGAGGGCATGTGTCACAAGGCCACTGTGTTTCTGTCTGCTTTTCCTTTTGCATAGTGCTGTCCAAGGGTTTCCAGGCCAAGTGACTACCAGCTAGGAATTGCAATGCCTTAATTGTTGATGCCTCAGCCTTCTTTGGATCAGAGTCCAGTGACTATGATCAGGTCCTACTGTTCATTTAATCCAGCTCTGCTGCTTGATAAACTACAACATATTTTTCAAGCATGTCTAAGGAAGCTAAGGAGGTTAGGCAATACTGACAGTGGGAGGTAGGATGTACCGTGTCCTTCATCCTACTGGTTAATCAGTGTGGTTTGGCAAAGGCAATATGGAGGACTTCAACAAATCTGCTGGAAAAGTGTTCCTGGCTGTGTATAAGTTGAACACTTTGTGTTATTAAATCTGGTGTTATGAAGTAAGCATTTATTTTTCTGTCAAGGTGGGTGAATGTCAGCGATTGGAGTCTGTTGGACTTTTAATTGGCAAGCAAGCGATAGTGAATGAAATGCCTGATGTAGCTCGGCAGTTCATGCTCTTGTGTCACACCACTCTTACCAGCGCACAAATGCCAGTCTTGTAAAAGGAGCCCCAGTCTTCCTCTGTTCAAGGGCTTGATGGGTGTAGAGAGCAAACTAGTTTTGCTTCAGTAATAACACTTATCTAGCCCTGCAGATGGTTAAGAGAGCTGTGCAGAGAACCAGCTGCTCTGGTGACTTGCAGTAGGATGGAGAGATTCACCTCTTGCCAGGACCTGAAGTATTTGGCTGTGCTAAACCAAAATTCTCTTAGGGATACAGTGTTGCAGCATTCATGTGTGTAAACAACTATCCTTCAGTATCACCATTATTTACAGCCATTTGTTATCTGTTAAGATTCTTGTATGTAGACCTAAGGAAACTCCCTGTCCAACAGCATTGAGGATGAGATGCAGAGAAAACCAGCCAGCACCTTGAGTCCATCAGTGAATGGAGCTGTTGAATTTTGATTTTCAGACCTGAATACAGATTGTGCTGATAATCCTCATTAAAATCATTTTTAAAAGGAAGGGTAGCTTTCACGTTCTTAAAACAAGGCAGCATTGACATGTTTTTACATCAGACAAGACTTAATGCGTCTCTTTCTTTCCTCTGCCAGTTTTCAGGTCTTTATATCCTGTCCTTCGTTATCATCATGGTGGGCTTCATCTTGTATTGCTCCACTCCAACTCGAACAGCAGAACCCACCACCTTGCCACAGCCCGGCACCACCGGCTTGGACAACGCTGCACTAAAGCTCGAGGAGAATGACAGTGAAACTCCAGCCATAACTGTACAGTTCACGAGAGGAGAAATTGTGGTGGTCAGCACTGATTAAAGAAATGGCAGCATTTCAAAACAGAGCTTTTTTTTTTAACTGCCAAATTTCCCTCAAATATTAATCTGGAGAATTGTTCTACTGCCAAGGCATATGTCATGCCGCACCGGTTTTAATGCACTGGATAGACTTTTAAGGCCAGATCCTCAATCAGTGAAACTGTATTGATTTACCCTTGCAGAAAATCTGGCCCTTAGAAGAAGACAGAGTAGTATTTATGTGGAGTCTCTGGGAAGTGAGAGACCGTTGTTTTTAAATGCTTAATTAACTTAACAACAAATGCTTGGGGGAAAAAACTAAGCCAAAGCATGCTCTCAGGTCACTAACCGGGGCAAATGTTTTATATTGCATTAGGGACCCAAATCTGCAAGATGCTATCTGAGGGCTTCATGGTTCCCACACCTCAGTGCCAGGTGCTCTCAAATAGCGTCTTGCAAAAGCCGCTTGGCTTCTCATAGGATTTAGTTCTGCAAGCTGTACTACGTACATAGACCTGCAATGTGCTGATGGACTTAATTCCTCCGCTGGAGGATTTGCTTCTTACATTCCACCCAAGTGTTCGTCTCTTCATATTGCTGCACTCCCTGTCGCAGCTGGGGCTGCTACAAGTATTTTATTTTGCTAGTAAGGGAAGTTTGAATGTATGTTTTCTTAATACCTTCTTTTTCTCTCGCAGTGGCCTGTTGTTTGATGCATTCCCGCTAGGTGGAGTTCTTTCTTCTGGATGAGAGCAGAAGGGTTTAAAGTGAAGTTCTCTTCTCAGTGAATTTCTCCCTGAAATGGGACTCATTTCTGCAGAAAGATTTGAATAAGATTGGCATTTCTTAAAAAGATGGAAGTATCTTAGCCAATCCTCATTGCAATAATGGCAATCTCCAAAAGGTTAAGTGCTTTCAGTAGATTCATTGGCAGTTTTCTTCCCTCTCTTCATATTTACAGTAAATGATTAAAAAATATGAGGCTGCAGTTTTAACATCAGTAAAACCATACTGGGATTTTATTGTATTTTATTTTAATTTTTTGTACAAGCCTTCATAGCTCAGGTGTATGAAGTAACAAAAGAATAAAGTTTTCAGCAGCTGAAGAGTTGGCTCTTGGTTTATTTTTTTTAAGCTAGAATTTCTTTATTGCTCAAAATTGTATTAATTGATTTTACTGAGCAAATGGTTCTTTTAATGGCTGAGTTTTGCCATAAGAAGTGTGACTTTTTCTGAAGATCCTGATGACCAGATGACACAGACTGGTTTTGTGTACTTCTGGTGTAGTTTTTTCAAGGAAAATAATTCAGCAAAAATCTTACCTGATTTTATTTAGCGATAGCAAAACAAATGTTCAGTAGATACTACAGCAACAAACATTGCCTTTTCACTGAGTCATTCATGCATGGAAGGGTGAAGGAGTGCTGATGTTTTATGAAAACCATTTGGGCCCTGTTATCTTTTGCTTTACAGCTGGAGTAAGATTCAGGTCACAGATTAAGACACCTAAACTGGTGTGTCTATAGACATCTATACATCTAAAGCTCAACAAAGCAGCTAGAGACCAGGTGGGGTAAGGAAGTCTGACAGCAGTAGATACCTAAGAGAGGCCATCTGGATGAAGTTGTAGTTCATACCAAATTTTAGTTGCCTACAACCTGGAGCTAAGTCCCACCCAGTGTTACCTTTATGATAAGTTAACTACATGCAGTAACGAAGCAAACAGCAAGCAAACCTACAGGTCTGTAGGTGAATGTTCCAGAACTCTGCATCTATCGGTGCATGATGGGATTCGGCTCCTGAAGGTAGCTTTTTGTGTATTTTGTGCAAAAAAGTTGCTGAGGTCCTGTGTGAAGTGCCTCTCTGTGGGGTGTGATTCAGTTGCCTCGGTGTCAGCTGAGACACCCTATGGAGTCTGTGGCATCTCTAGGGGCTGACAGATAGGACTCAGGATCTAGAGGAGACCTGTGACCTGGAGCAGATTGTTGAGGCCAGATGAGATGCCCTATGATCTCTGAAATAGCACTGCAGCCTATAGTTAAGACATTCAACGCTTTCCTGATGAGTGTGTGGGGCCATATTTGATAACTTCAGATGCTTAACCTTTACGCAGCTAAAATTGGATGAGGTGAATCCCTGATGAAACTTATGGCCCAATCTGCAGCATGTTCTTTCTGTGGTCACTGGGTGGCATTTCGGCATCTCTGTGATGTTTGCTAAAAGAGCTGTGTGTGCGCAGTGGTTGAGAGCGCTTTGGTGTGCCTGCACGTCCCATATGCAGTGCGGCGTGAAAATCGATCTCATTTTACCCACCTCAGGAAAAATAGCAGTGCTCTTTGCATAAAGCATGTGATGACTGAGAATCGCTATGCAAAGAAGAGAAAGTATGAGGCAGCAGCTGGACTTGTAATAGAAGCGCAATGGCAAGTGTGGTTAATCAAAGGCTGGCATTGGCAGGTGAAAGCATTACCTTGGCAAACGGAAAAAGTAAGGATAAGTTCACAGCATCCCTACTGATAGCTCCCATCGAAAGAAAACAAGGGGGACGTTTTTCCTTAGTGCCAAAGGGAGGAATAGGGACACTTGGCCCACCAGCTTGCTAATGTTGTGGCAGCCCCACCAGAGGATGATGCTTGGCTGGCTGCTGTCCCATAGTGCTGGCGTGAACAGGAGGGGACATGGCAGCTTCCCCAGGGACAACCCTGGGGGTTTTCCATTAGCACCAAGTAACATAAGCTCTTACAGCACGTTTGGGGTGAACCAAATGGGGTCAGGCGTCTTCAGCAGTGTGGATCTGGAGCAACCTGCGCTAGGACAAGGGAAGAGGTGACAACCTGAAAAGCATTTCAAAGTAGCCAAAGGCAGGTACCTGAGCTGGCAGGCAACTGAAAGAAACAGCTAAGAAGAGAAGATGTGTCTTCTACCACTTTTAGAGGCATCTCTCATATGAAGAAAGGCTGAGGGACTTGGGTCTCTTTAGTCTAGAGAAAAGAAGAATGAGGGGGGATCTTATTAATACTTACAAATACTTAAAGGGAGAATGCCAGGGGGATGGGAGCAGTCTTTTTTCAGTGGTGCCCAGTGATAGGACGAGGGGTAATGGGCATAAACTTGAACATAGGAAGTTCCATCTTAACATGAGAAGGAACTTCTTTACTGTGAGGGTAGTGGAGCACTGGCACAGGCTGCCCAGAGAGGTTGTGGAGTCTCCCGCTCTGGAGACATTCAAAACCCGCCTGGACGCCGTCCTGTGCAACCTGCTGTAGGTGACCCTGCTCTGGCAGGGGGGTTGGACGAGATGATCTCCAGAGGTCCCTTCCAACCCTGACCATTCTGTGATTCTGTGGGTGGGCCACAAGTTGAGGCTGTTTTGAGGAGAAACCACTGATGGGAGTAGGAAGCTCTGGAGAAATCCTGTTTATTGATGAAGAAGGCCCCAAATCCTGTTGTCCTGAAAATGGTGGATCCTTTGCTTCCCGCCAGGGCCCCTCCAGCTGCCACGCTCACCAGGCAGGTCCCACTATGTGGCCATGCCTCCACTGTATATACCTGCTGTCCTCTGGACCTGAGCATCAGTCCCCAGCATCTGCAGTGGAACCTGCCCCTGCCCCGTGCACGAGGGACATTAGGGATGTTTTTGCAGCTCTCTTCAGAGAGATTACCTAACCCAAGAACATTTTTTGGTGACATTTCCACATGAAAAGGAGAAATCACATTTGCCCATGTGGGATGTTTTACCCCCAGCTTGCTGGTCGTCTTCTCATTGCTGAGTTATGGTGGGATTGCTTCACTCATTTCAAGTGTGCAGTGAATTAAATGGTAGAGTATGTATTGGAAAACATCAGGAGAACTTACAAGCCTTTCTGTGCCAAAAAATAGAAGTGCACCTGGTTCAAATGTTAATCTACAATATTGCTTTTATTGGGCAATAATCTTGCTAAATTAGATAACCACTAGCTGTTGCCTATTTGTCTGGGACAGAAAATACTATGGTTGTCCAGACTTGAGGAATGGCAGTCATCCCACCTTACAAATCTGAATTAAAGTATGGTTTAGATCTTGATTACATGTTAAGAAATACTGTATCCTTGACAATGTCTTCTGAGAATTTGTAGATATATTATTTAGGGGTTACATTTTTGAGGGATTGTGAAAGGAAATGGATCACCCCTCAGATCTTCTTATAGGTTACATGAACAGTTCACTGAAGGTTTTGTGCTGCTTAAACCCACCAGCATCAACAGGGTGTTTGAAGAATATTAACTCTTCATTGCAGCAGAATCAAGGGCAAAGCACCTACATTTGGTTATTGAAGTCTGGATGGCGTTAGGTTTGTAGTGCTAGCACAAAACTGTTTTAATTAGGGGGTTATCCCATACTGTCACTACGACAGGAAAAAGGTCGTGCTTGTGGCACTGCAGTATGTTGTATTTCTAAATGCGGTGTTATTTCCAGGCTTGTAGTCATTTTAATTTGGATACTCAGTCCCCTCCCATGTGGAATTCTCCCTTTGAGGGGGGATGGTATTTTATTTTATTCTCTGTAATTAGTGGTATGATCAGTGGTAACATAATGGAGGTTTTATCTGAAAGTACATAGAGGCATGTATTGACTCAGACTTTGGCTGGTCTTCAAAGCGTAGGACCATCTCGTGGCGTGGTATGAGTGCACAGGCAGTAGCTAATCTTCTCAATATATAGACCACTGAAATAAAAATTGTGTAAAAAACGTGTGAGGTTACAAGCCCAGCCCATTAACTGTGGATTTGTTCTTCCAAGGCTTTTAAAATGTGACTATAATAGTAGATTGTAATCTGATTCAAACAAGTTGGGCCGCACAGGATGTCTGCTGAGCCGCAGGGAGAGGGGAGCAGTGTGGGGCAGCATGCCAGCTCAGATTCCCCATCCCTTATACTGGGACAATTTAGTGATTTGGCTGGATTATATTCTGAACTGAAAACTTTAAAACTCTGTTTCACAGAACAGGCTGTGATTTAACTTCATACGCTGTGATTTAACTTCATACAAAAGATTTTTGATCCAAATTGCCGGTAGCTAACATAAAGATGTATATTAATGTCACAAAGAAGGTCTGGAAGGTCTTTCAAGCTTTCAGCGAG